ACTCAGACGTGTTTTCAGGCAGTTCGAAAGACCACTGTTCCCACGCTTGTTATCAGCGTTCGTTCGGTCACACACGGAGTACGCCGTTCAAGTATGGAATCCATGGTTAAACCACGACAAGAAGGCTCTAGAACGTCCGCAAAGGCTGGCAACAAAGTTGGTAAAAGGTCTGTATAAAAAGACATTCCGAAAGACTGCAAATATTGGGACTCTACTCATCTCACTACTTCGGGGGAGGACCTAATCTTGGCATATCACATATTGCATCAATCCAAACACTATTGCCGTTCTATGCTGACTTTATCTCATAATAATCACCTCAGGGGACATTCACTAAAGGTGAAGACCCAGAACAGCTACCTTCATAGCCGGCATCACTCGTTTGCAGTCAGAGTGCTGCGTATATAATTCTCTTCCATCTGAAGTAGTGTGTGCTCCTACAGTTGACCTATTTAAATCGCAACTTGATAAAACATTGGAACACTTAAAACTTCAACATCCGTGAGTGATCATGCATATTATTATCATTGTTATTTTCTCTTGGTGAAGTTATTCAAGAGATTCCGTAAAAATCCTATGGGGCATGATAACGTTTAGCTTTGTTAAATCACCCAGCATAAAACTTTGACTTTGATATTTATAACAGGAATATTCTCTGGAATGGGATGTGCAAGATTGGGTGCACAAAAGGTGTGGTGAGACGTGGTACTCGATGGCCTGTGGGATGATAGTTGATGTAACTCAGTACCGAAATCCAAGAAATACCTCTTTGTGAACCGCCATCGTCAACCGGAGAATTGGTGAACAGCTTAGTAAACCGCACAATCGGAACCAACAATCCAAGCAATATGACTGTGTATCACATTAAAAGATTACTGTGATAGCTTGAGAATGCCAGGACTTTGTTGAAACGCACATTCTGTAATTTGGTAATAAACGTACTCAGTCGTTTGTTTCACCTGGACTGACACTAATCGTCATATAATGAGTGTCAATCATAAAAATATCGCTAGATGCGGATAAAAAAGGCGGGTTATCTCCATGAGCTGAGCACATTAATCGACAGATCAATCTGTCAAGCCATTTGAAATACGTGAGTAGTAGAACTGTGTGCGCTCTGAATTTGACGCGTGAACCACATGCATACATAATAGCGAAAAGAAACGCATTTTGGTCAGATTGTTTCAGTGTGTCTGGCAGCGTGTTTCTGAGTCAGCGTATTTTCTGTGCTGAAACACGTGCCACCTCGTAAGTGTGTTTATCTTCTCCTGTATGTATTAAATTGTGACGCTCAGTAGAATAAATATTAAATAAATATTAACAATCCGGACAAACGATATTTTAGCAGAGGTTGAGAGTGAAACCGATCATTTCTACAGTAAGACAGTGCCAGGGGCTTGATCTATCTATCCAATATGCGAAACTTCGCGCGCAACCTCAAACCTACAATGCTGAAAAACAACATTGGAGTATAACAGTGCGAGGGACGGAGAAAAATTACTCCAAGCCACGCAACCAGTCAACAGCAGGGATATATGAAAGCCAGAGCTGATTGGAATTATGCGGGCTGCGAGGTGAGAGCGTATTCCAAACAGGAGGATTTGGTTCAATTATCGAGTGTATTGAGGGTCTTCCTTTTTGTGCGTGGATTAATTTACACCAGAGTACTTTGCCGTATCAAAAAACGAGCAAGTGATTGTGGCTCCAAGGAGGAACGATAGACTTATGCTTAGAATGGCAATCAGTTTGTGTTGCATTAAATGCTGGACAAGATATGTAAAAAAAACAATGCTTCTGAGAACTAGTAAATGTCCATTAATGGATCCATTTTCGTGTCTAGGAGTGATGGAGAAATATGCAAGTCACCAGTTACGCACTAAAGCGACTTGTGGGATACAAACAATTTATTTAGAACAACGACTAGCGTATTGTGATAGATTAATCCACAAATAGGAGACATAATACACCCGATTGTATGAGGTGGTGGCGGTCTAGTGCACTCTCCGGATCCAGAAAAGGAAGTCGGTGTTCATGCAATGGTATCCGTCATAAACAGTTACCATATGAGAATGAACATTGAATAGCCTGAGAAGCAGTGGATAAATTTTTTCATAGACAAATTTCAGCTTAATAAGTACAGATTTTCTGCTCGGTTTGAAAAGTTGCACTGCATTATTTAGGGATGTTCTAAACCTTTCATGCTTGGCATGAATAAGAGTCAGTTGTGATGAGCAGTAAGCCACAGAGGGGCCAGCTCGCATATTCCACATGGTAAGCGCGTCGGACTGACAATCCCACATTCGAATCTGAGAGAACTCAATGGATATCCTTCCTGGTAACGTACAAGGAGAAAACGGTNGTAGTGATTTACTGGCAGACTCTGTATGACCAACACCATTTTATTTACGGTTCAAATGTTATAAACCTTTAAAAAGTGTCCGGTACTTCCGGCTGCATTTGAAATCCAACCACCACCATACAGAGCTCCAATGAACAAAGATAGAATACTCGTGCAGTCACATTCACTTGGGACGGAACAACAACAACTCGAAGGTTGTGATTTCGTTTATGTTATACAATATATATATATATATATATATATATATATATATTGGCATATGAAAGGAGCGATTTATTATCACAAAAGTTACGTTTTCTGCAGCTGTTTGCGTTGCGAGTACAATTTCAGCAAACAAACCTGTTTGCATCCACCGCCTGCTGATTTTCTACGCCTAATGGATGCCAAAGCTAGCAATGACCTTCGATAGATGGCGTTGAATGCTAACTAATTGCTAATCAAAAATCCTGTCCAGAGAAATCGATCCAGTGGGAATAATCCAAGATGAGTTGCTCACTAACACTCGCCTTGTTTCCATTTTTTTTTAAATGATGGTACAATTAACTGTCGAAAGGAGGAGGGCTGTGAGTAACTAAGAGCTTTCTGGGGACGTCCAAGATGGGAAATTCAGTGGTGGCGGTGGAAAAATTAAAATATTTAATAGTTTCGTTATGATTTTTTTATTGTGTCATTTCTGACTAAATAGAAATAAATCGAAGTCCAAAAAGAGATTGGGGAAGAGTAGATGGAATCTCTGGCCCGCACCCCGCACTGTTCTCAGCTAATCAAAACAGAATAGTCATGGCAAACTGCCATAGACAACAAATGGTGTAAAATAGTAATTAAGGGTTTAAGACGTCTGACCGAATCGGTCCAATTAACGGGGTTTACATTCAAAGCTGGAACGAGAACGGACGGACGAGTATTGGAGTATTTATCAACAGGAAAACTAATTTGATTAGCATAAATGCGTTACTGGAATAATGAGCCCTAATAAGTGTGACGGTTACCAAGGCGTCGGAGTCAGAGCAATATTGACCTCACATAAACACACACGAACGCGCTGGTTCGTGGGAACAGCCTCTTGGGTACAGGCTAGTTGGTAAACATCGGCAGTGCCAGGACACAATGATCAATCATCTGAAGTGGGTCCACTCGGGCACCTCCACCGCATCGTATTTTTACCATTCCGACGAACGGATCGACAGAAAATATCCCGCACACGTTTGGTGGAGAATTTCATACTGACCTCAATTTCGTAAGAAAGCACCACGAGTTGACTAAGGCGGCTTAAATCGGTCAGGAATCATGCATACACGCATGTGGGAATACCCAATACGGATTTTTTGCGAGTTCGCCAAGTCTCAAATGAACTGCACGATTCAAGTGACAACACGTGGCGGTGTAAGCAGCAAAAGAAGATAGGACTATCAAAATGCAACTCGTACATAACCACAGCGTTCGCATTTTAGACAGCTACTTTAGAAAGAATCATAATGCATATATTCAAAATGATGCAACTGAGTAAGTAAAGAAAATGAACATAATACTGCTGATTGCAGGGAATGGGAAATTTTGTATCGAAAATGTTTGAACTGCATTATGTAAAAAATGAACCATTTCAGTGATAAAATGTGCACAGATGTGTGCACTATATGAACAGCGCATTTACATACGCAATTTCGATGACTCACACGAAACACCCAAAAGAAAGGTCGCGGTGCATAACTAAACGAAAATTGTTTACACAAGTAAGCAAGGAATGTTCTGGACACCAACAGAGAAAGTATACAAATTTTGCTATTTGGAAAACTATATCCTACATGGCAGACGCATCACGGATATAGTGTAGGCACGGTTGACATTTGCAAAAGTGAGACATCTGTGGTGTCGTCGAAACAAACTGCTGCCTATGGAGTATCGAGTAAATGCTACAACAGCTCGGAAGGTTTCGCTATACGATGCAGAGGCTTGGGCATAAAAAAACTGGATAAAGATAGATTTTCGGTGTTCGAATGGCGCTATTTACGCTGCATTGTGCGATTTTGGTGAGGAAACCGGACAAGCAACGCTGTGATTAGGAGCAGAGTTCTGGATAGTCAGGATCAAACACTGGAGAAGGTGCTCGACTTCCGTAGATTAAGATTAAGATACCACTCAGTGGTTACGCTGATCCCAAGGTCCGCGAAAAGGAAACCGAACGCGACCTGTAACGGAACCTCCTGATCAGGGTTTTCACACTCCTGTGCTAGGTTATTTTTTACCTTTTCTATGCACTACCTGTCTCTTCAAACATCGTGAGCCCTGGCAACCTTTCTCGTGACATGCGAATTTGATCAACATGGATAAGTGCTATTACCTTAGTACTGCTTTCGAAATTCCGATCTTTTCTCTATTCCTTCAGCTAAATGGGATAGGCGAAAGACAGCAATCAAAGTGTTGGTTGTTTAAACTGAATTGACTGAGACTCGGGAGTCCAAGATACGGGGGAACGAAGAAAGATTGCTGTGAACCGAATTCACTAGGATACGCACAATGAGCGAAACCTGAATACAACACATCCAAGTGCAGTCTTTTCTCCTGACTGCATCCAAGAAAAATGAAAAACGGGTATCATTATGACTATGTTACTTTGGCAGATTGGCTAAATCATAAAACCAACCTAATTTGGCAGGGGTATCGGTGTTAACGTTAATTGAAAACCTGCCTCATTAATATAACACCAACAGATTGCGCTCAAGAATCGTCAAGGTTGAGTTTGAAGACTAGCAGTTTTGTTAGGTAGGCGCGTTTGGATGTTCCTACAATAACGTTTATTAAACGCGTAGTGTTCTAACGTTTCTTTGGTTTTAAATGGCCTCGAGACCAAAAAGCACGTGTATGTGTATGCCTGGTTCATGCGTGGAACGGATCGATATTCTTTCTCGTTTACAACATTGTGGCTCAATTTATTACTTAACAGTACTACTTTAATGCATTGGTCGTGGAATCAGTGCGGTACTTATAGACTGTGCCAGAGGCTGTTTGTGAGAATTCTCGATAAAGAGATAGACAGACTGGTGTAGAATTTACCACGACCCCGTATTCCCTATCGAATCACCGCAATTACTACAGTTGAATTTCAGTTCAGCCGTGTCGGATATTACAAGACAGAAGGTGAAAAAAATTCGATTAGCTGTATCCAGTTGTGGATAAAATTGTGTACAACAAAGCGGCCGTGAAACGATACAATCGAGGACAACGAAATCCCACCTAAATTAATCATGATAAAAATTGCCCGCAGTGGAACTTGTTTTTCAACTAAATAAAAGAACATCCAACTGAATGGTGCCAGTAACGATTCGAGATACACAAAGAGAAGGGCCGGCATCAAAAACCGAATATTCTTGTCCGTCTGACTATCTTGAAGTTATCGTTGTCTGAAGTTTTGTCTTCAGCTAGCCAATTGTCTATGCTTGTTGTATCCTTTCAAATAGTATCAAACAAATCGATACTTTTTATTCATGTGCACTGATGCAATAAACAATAGGATGGATATGAGTTGGAAGCCAAAATCGCGTGGAAAGACTCTTCAAACGGCTGCTACGGGGCTTACCTTCATCACACCAATGATGCTGGTCGTGAGTGCCGATGTGTAGTGTGTGCATTGAATTAGTGAGAAATTGAGCAGGACGGCCGAACAACAAGAAAACATGAAGCAGAACAAAAATAACGGTTCTGTCCACGTTGGATAGTGCAAAATCTGCCAATTGTCCGCGATCGAGGAATGCCAAAAGGGAATTATGATCACGACAAGTAGACAGACGATTGGACGAATATGAGGGGAGAGAGAGAGAGAACAAGAGGAAAAGAGAGTAGAACGGAACATCAATGATTGACAGATGAAACTGAACTAATGGAGCAGAAGCGATGGAAACCAAAAATGTTTTGTAACAAGCATGCAACAAGGATGCTAAATAAAACACACGCTTATCTAGCAGGTTGAGCAAATACGATGGTTTAACACTGTACGTATGATATATATATATATATATATATATATATATATATATATATAGTAGAAGAATGATAATGTGGGATTCGAGTGAACGCATGACGTTATTACTTCCAGTTAATTGTGTCCGATCGCATACGAAGCACCTTGCTAAGCAAGTTGGGAAAACTCCACCTTCAGCAATCAGCAAGTTCCGGAT